CCCCGCGCCCCAGCCACCGCACCTGTTGCCGCGCGCGCCTCGGAGCCTGGCCGCTCGCTGCGCACCTGGCTAACCCCGGCGGCGTCCCCACACCCAGCGGGTCCCCGCGGGCGTCCAGAGCTGGGCTGCGCCTCTGGCCGGGGTCCAGGTCAGCCCGGCCGCGAGAGGGAACCCGCCTCCTCGAGCTGCCCTTCGGCCACCTGCGTCGGCCTTCTGAGCCCTCCGGCTGCGGCGAGCCGCGGGGGGCGGGTGGGAAAGTTTACAGTTACCGGATGGGGGCTCGCGAGAAGCCAGCAGTGATTGTCTCACCGCGAGTCTCTCTGCACTCTGAATTGTCTTCCTGCTACAGCTGAGAGGATTATTAGCAGCACCTATTAAAGATTAAAGAAATGAGCCCTCCAGCTGTTAGATCTTCCGATAAATTGTGGAAAGAATAGAACACTAGGCAGAGAAACTAGGCCGGACCCACTTTTCTCCAAAGAGAAAGTCTTGCTATCTGCTGAACAAGTTTTAGCCAAAGCTTTTAGGCCTATCACATATTTTCTTCAATAAAACATATATCTAATAGAAGCTTTTCAAAAGATGATATTCTGCCTAGGAGAGATACAACATTACTGAACCATTCAATGCCACACAACCTGAGTCCAACTTTTTTTTAATCCTTGGCATGGTTTTCCTGAAAGCATTTTAAGAAAGTTTTTCTGAGGGTTAAAAAAAAGTGAGGATGCTTCATTTCACAAAGCTGTCTATACCACGAATATTAGATGAACTGACCAATGTACAGTTCTAAAGCCTTTTTACATGTACAATGGTCCATTACGGCCTTTAACAAGACCCAGGTGTATATAGGTCAGATTATTATCTCCGTTTATTCATGTAAGAAAATTGAAGCTAAAAAGGCCAGGTGGGTTGCAGAAGGTCACACGACTAGTGAGGGGTAAAGGCAAGCCCAGCAGGCCTAATTCCTAATTTTTTTTCCTCCATTGTGTAATGACACCTCTCACCTGTTTTTGAAGTCCCTCTTATAAAGACAAACGCTAACATGATCCATGAGTTTAGAGAAAGGCACGTGATCAAATTTAAACAGACACAGCATAAACACCATAGGATGATTCTGCCTTATGCAAAAATACACATACATAATGCGCTGCAAAACAAGACAGAAAAAAGCCACTGATGTTTTTTTTTCTGCAAGTCATGAGACAATTATGCTGATTGGCAACATGCCTCTTCCTTAAGCAGAATTCTCCTTGTATTAAACATATTATTTAATCTTTATAACCTTCTCGTGACCTGAACGATTTGGCCCAACCCCACACAGTTCTATTGAGAGGTTGAGTTATCTCTATAAATATAGAACCTGTTTTACTTCATTTTTGTATGGGATAAATTGAGAAAACAAAAGACCAAAAAAAATGCAGCTATTAAAACTACTTTTGTGGCCACTGGGAAATCTGAAACTTAGCTTCTAGTTGTGTTCACATAAAAGCAAAAATTATCTTCTAGGGACATCATCAGGGACTATGTCAAGGCAAATATTCATGAAATGGGACCTCTTGGCTTTTCTTTCCATCTTGGTTCTGGGCACATTGCCATGTTCCCAATCTCTGAACTTTAATGCTGACCTGTTAGAGACTCCAAGAACAATACACAGGATGAAATAATAATCCCGCATAACTTTGTGGTTCTTGATCCTAAAAATAAAACCATATATTTTTTATCCATGCAAAAATACAAATAAATACCACCACTTTGAGAAACCATTTTTTTTTTACTTGTCACATTGTCAAGGAGTAGGAAGTTGAATAAACACTTAGCATTCATGGAAGTATGGCTGGGGAGTCACAATGAAAATATGAGTGTCAATTATGTTGACCTCTAGTGAGGGCAATTCACAATGTCTAAGTAAAATTATAAAGGTGCATATTCTTTTAGCCAGTAAGTGTACATCTGAGAGTTTAATCTCACAGTGTATATGCTGTATGGCAAGTACATAAAATGTTTTATTTCAGCATCATTTACAATAAAAGAAACAAGAAAAACTATTGAAAGCTGGTTATGATATCCTTTATCTGTCATTACAGCAATGAGAGACTAAGGTAAGAAGATTGCAAATTCAAGCCCAGCCTGGGCAACTTAGTGACTTAATGATACCTGGTCTCAATAAATAAATAAATAATAAAATACTAAAAAAGCTAGGAGTGCAGTTCAGTGTTCAGTCCCCAGTATCACACACATACACACACACACACACACACACACACACACAAAATTGAGAAACAGTATAAATGTTTATTAATATAGGACTGTTAAATCCTAATGCAATCATAAATTGAAACCATTTGAAGACTAAATACAGAATAAGAAAATTCTTTATACTACTATGAAATGATCTATAAGATACCTTATGTGCAAAATTTTAAAATCCTAAACAATTATCTAATATGCTTCAGTTTCCATCATATAGGATGAAATTACATGCACATGTGTGCATATATACCTTTGTGTGTACATGTATTCTTATTTTTGTATTAGCTTATACTGTATGAAAAGATACATTACTAGAAACTGATAAGAGTGGTTTAGTCTTGAAAAGGAGCTGGGCAAAATTTGAAGAAAAGCTTTTTATTCCATGTAACTGTCTTTTGGATTTTGAGCCACATGAACAATAAATCAACACCAATATTTTAAAATTTTTCACTACTTGAAGCTTCGCCACCAAATATGGCTAAGCTTTTGTAGCAACTAATTTTGTTTATAAATAACATAAGTGACCAAGTTGTTCATGTGTTAATGAGGAGGCAGAATATTCAATAGATGCTTTTAATCCCATTTCTTCTCTCATTCATTTATAAAGACAAAAAAGTTTAATATCTAAAACTCAAACATGCTATGACTATGGTGGAAATGATGAATTAGCAAATTCCTTAGAATTTTATCTCCCCAGGGCAGATTCCAGCCAGCTTTCCCAAGGTTACATTTAGTCAGGAAAGAAAAAGAACCCCAGGCTTAATTCTCAAAGGGGAAATTCAAGTGCCTTGACTTCAGCAGCAAGGAAGTAATTCCACGGGAATTGTATGCAGTCCTTTCACTTCTGCTCCTGATCCAGATGCCTTTGAGATTTTTATTATTAACATTTACTTCTATCTCCACTTTACTGAACAGAGATGTGAACTCTAAAAGACTGAGAGAGTAAATTGTAAAATAAATGTTTTGAGTATAAAATAGAGTTCCAGGAAGCTGGATGTAGTGGCACACACCTGTACTCCCAGCTACTCAGGAGGGTGAGGGGGGAGGATGGTGAATTACAGGCAGTAAACACACTATTGATCAACAAATTACAACTGAGAGCTTCCTGGTAACAAAATGCCCTAACCAGTTACTCAGTTGCCATTTCCCAAGGAGCCAATCATTCCTTAAACTATCAGTCTTGAAAGGGAGTAACTAGTCATTCCTAGCTACTCAATTATGAGAAAAAATTTTGTTGTTCATTTTTTAGATGAAGACTACTGAATGAGAGTGGGGGGGGAACCAAACATATTTTCATTTGAGCTTTGAATACAAATCAAAAGCATTAGAAATAAAACTCAGTTGGAAGAAGGTATTCACCCAGAGACCAGGCTAATATCATTCCAGACTCTATAGAGTAGAAGACCAGGGATTGGCTATACATAGAGGTAACAAGAGACAGCAGCTCTGTAGTGTGTGTGTGTGTGTGTGTGTGTGTGTGTGTATGTGTGTTTTGGGGGGGGGTAACAGGGATTAAACCCAGGGACTTACGCTTTGCCAGACAGGCATGTTTGGTGGACATTCTCATCACTTAAAGGATATAAAAGGAAATAAGGAAGGATAGAGAGTTCCATTTTCTTCTGAGGAGCTCCACTCCTCACTTTCAGCTTGACTTCTAGCGCTGACTCTCGGGCTTCTGCCTTGGGTCCTTCAGCCTTCTGGTGTAGACTCACCAGCCTCCCATCGCAGACCCACTGGCCTCTTAACACAGACTTGCACAGACACTGCAGCGAGCTCCAGGCCTTGGTCTGAATCCTCAGTCTCCAATGTGCAGACGCCCTCTGCATGCTTCCTCATCCGACTCTGGCTGATCATCATAAGCCAGTATTGTAATCTCTTATACATTTGTACGTCCTGTGTTATTTCTGTTTCCCTTAGTAAAGCCCTAACTGATACAAGCTTCTTGACCTACACTTCTGAAAGTTAGCTATACTCATGGCAAAATTCTAACATCTCCACAAATCTCCTGTCTCAGAGATTGACCCAGCTGCTATATACAATGTTCCAGAATTGTCCAGGAAATCGTTTCCTACTTGATGAAGAACTTTTAGCTATCTCTGACAAAGTATTAGAGTGTTAGAATCTTATGGCACCGTTGATAACTATATTTTTTCATTTTGTGAAAAGAAAAGATATATTTCAAATAGCCACATGGACAGTAGAATATGTATTGCTCAAAGGCACAAACTGGCCAGGGAGATAGACAGCTCAGCAGCATAAGCACCTGCCTGACAAGCGCAAGGTCCTCAGTTCAATCCCAGGAAAAAAAATAACATTTAAAAAAAGAAAAAACCAAATGCAGAAATTGACCAGTTGTAGCAATGGCTACAAGAAACTTAGAGTTTTAGAGCAGAGAATGACCATGACTCATTTACAAATAATTCTGGTTCCTGATAACTTATTCTTAGTGTGCTTAGAGGCTCAAGTAGACTCTTTGTTTTCAATTTTTTATTTATGTATTTATCTGGTATGGGGTCCTGCTACGCAGCTTAGACTCATACTGATCCTCCTGTCTCAGCCT